CCGGGCCCGGATTTTTTTTCAGGGGTTTAGGCGGTGGTTGGCAAAAACATTTATGTATTTCCCCCCCCCCCCCCCCCCAGGTATGCCGCCCCCCCCCAAAATTTGCAGGGAAATTCCCGGAGGCTTTCCTTTTCCGGGAAAGGCTTTGGGGGGGGGTAAAGGTTCCCATGCCCAGGGACCTCACCCGGGGTTTTGGAAATTGCACCCCTCCAAAGGCTTCCAAGTAGTTTACCCCCCCCCCCCCCCCCCCCCCCATCCTTGAGCGTAAATAACAGTTCACGCACTCATTCCAAGCAGTCCGCATCGACACTCGGCGAGCCCATCGTCAGGCGCAATGCCGTCCAGGCTGCGCGAATAGCGGCGTCGCTCATCCAAGCAGCGTCACAGCAAAGAGATCGCGGCATGAAGAAGAGTCGCGAACCATTCTGATCCACGCCTAAATTGCCAGCACACAAGCCGCGCACGACTGCACTCTCGCCTCTGGGGGAAGCTCAAAAGTTGAAATAAAAGCGTCAGCAAGATACTCAATGTGACAGGCGCGCACACCTACACCTTCGGTTCTGGGGGAGGTGGAAAAGTTGAAATAAAAGCGTCAGCGAGATACCCAATGTGAAAAGAGGCACAAAACGGACATGGGCCGATGGAACTGCGCGAGAATTTGGAGAAATCACCAGAATCGGCGAGCTTCTCTTCCTCTATCCCTCAACCGTTATCGACAAGTGAAGCAAGAAAACGGTGCGCATACATCCTTACAGTCCATGCCCTGCGGTCTCAGGATATCCATGACATTAACTGCGACAATAGCATTCGTCAAAACACCAGAACACACAAAAGGCCAAATGCCTATGCCAGACTCTTTGCAACGCGCGCAAGGTCCGTCTAGGCTGCAATGGTTGAGGGTCAGCGAGTTCCGAGCAAAATCAGCGTCAAGGCAGCAAGAGTTGGACTTCTAGTACGGCCGGAATCTGACGCAAGTATGAGCTGTCACGGGAGATGTTCAGCCGAAGATGCATCATCTACCTGCGGATGATAACTGTCGGGACCTAATCTGGCCAGGTCTGTTGGTGTATGATGTGCCTTACATGCTGCGGAGCGTGGAGTTCGAGGCTGCACGTCATGAAGTTGGAAGTATCCTACAATCGTTGAGGGAATGATCATGGCTGGCTTTTGATACTGGAAACGGCCGTAATTTAAGCACTAAGGGCGAAGCGTCGAGACAGGTCCGAGGAGGAGTATCATTACCTGTACTGCAGTCGGTGAGCAGCACGACAGGACAGCAGGTAACACTGTGACAGCCTTGCCAAATCGGTACAAACGCATCCTGTGCGCTTTGTGAGTGAAGGAATTGAAGAGGTGAAGTTGGTATTGTCGTCCCGATGGCGGAAGGCTGAGATCCACTCTGCTCCAAATTTGGCTCACGCTTCCCTCAATCTGGCCAAGGACTTCAGCGACATCGCACCTAATTTCCCAGCTTTAAACACAGGTCGTCCCCAGGGACGCTCAACTCTCTTCCAGCATTGTCTGTCCCTTTCTGGATCAGTATAATCGTTTCGAGAACGAAGGTTTGGGCGTGCAAGGCTGTTTTGCTTTCACCAGCAACGCGCACGAGCAGAAATCTGGTCTAACCACAGCCTTTCCGCGGCGTTATAGCCGACTCTCAACTCTACTTCGAGCTCGAAAAGACACTTTTGATAATAACAACGACGAAGGGATTGCGGTGCCGGAGCGTGTATACGCACGCGGTAAGGACTTGCTCAGCCTACACGGCCTTATCTGGAAGTCATGCTTGTTTTGATTTGGCGAAGCTTGTCTTTGGCTTCAGTAGAGTCGCGAATTCGGCAGGCCTCAGCACGGGTCGCCAGCCCCAAAGAAGAAGTCGGCATTTGTCATTCTGTCGAACCGACAACGTGGAAAACAACAGCTGAATGCTGCATCCATCCTTGGCTGGATTGAGGCGGTCGGCACCGTACTGACAATGATTTCGGAGAAATTCATGAACGCCAGAAGCTCACGCGGTCGTCCGAGGGTATTTACAGTCGGGATCGACCGGCCACCGAATTCAACAGAAACTTGCGCACTTGGCCAGTTCCGAGGGTAGAGCTCTGAGCAAGCCGATTCCTAGGTTCTCGCTTAACAAGGCATATCACACTTGCAATTGGACAATATCCAAGTTGACCGGTATTCTTCAAGGGTCTAGCTTCCCCGAAAAACAGGGAGTGCTGCTGTATATCACTCTGTCGGCACTGCCGAAACTTCGTCCTCACTTTGGGTGCACATCTACCTTACCCCCGACTCCCGCGAACTCAACAAGACCAGCGTTGAGAACGCTGCTTAAGCCGGCAGTGCACCCAAACGCAAGAGCCGAGAGGATGATTGAGTGCAGAGACAGTCTCACTTCTGAGCTCGGAAGTCTAACCGGACGTCAACGGCCTGGTGACCAGCATGCTGACCTCATAGCCGCGACTTGCCTGTATCAACGTGGAAAGTCTTGGTCTCGCAACTTGCCAATCTTGTCGAAGCTCGCGAGTCGCTTCCTAGCCTCTCTGTTGGAATTTAGAGTGGCTTTACCTTGGAGTCGGGGGGTTCAGATGCTATACAAACCTGTCTGCCAATCCACCGTGTTGTTTGCCTCGTTTTCCAGTGGAAACTAACGGTTGTTGCTATGCGATTTTTAGTCGACGGTCCAAGCCGCGGCGTGCCCATTTTAGGGGGTAACGTATGCAAGGAGGCTTTCGTGATGCTACCCACCTCGTTAGCGCGGTAGGAAGGGCCGCCGCTAGCTGTTTCTAGTAGATACCAATCGATTAGTAGTTAGTTTAGCATTGATTAGAAAGCGGCAACTTCCGCGAATCTCGACAGCTAACATTCCCTTAGTCGCATACGATATACTACACTATATTATTAGAATACTTATATAACTATAGTACGTTAGAAAAGGCGGGATAGTAGCGAACAATTAGAGACGAAGGGAAGATAGTTAAGAAGGAAGAGAGGACGAATAGAAAGTACTATATACTAAGGTAGAGGAGGTACTAAAGGCGGAAGATAGAAGAACCCCTAAGAGGGCATATAGGATAATAATCTTAGAACTCCTTAGAGGACTAAAAGCAATCTATAACTAGGCAAGCTACGTAATTACAAAGGTAGCTAATATAGTCGTAGTAAAGATTACGAAGAAACAATAGGAAATAAGCCTAAACTACCGCACCTAGATAGTAGTAGCTAGTTAGGAGGCGCTAAAACCCCCGAGGATAGTAGTTAGAGTCTATATTACGGACCTATAGGAGTAAAAGGAAATCTAAGGACTTATAGGGAAAGAGATTATAGAAAGAATTATAGTTAAAGAGGTAATTAGGGCTAGGAACGAAGGAAAAGGGGTAATTAAGCTATTTATAGTATAAGAGTAGGACAAAAAGAAGCTAGAAACATAAAAAGAATAGACAACTAAGATAGGGAAAATAGTAAAGGTCTCTTAATAGCAATTTATAATTATAGCCTATAGTATAATAAGAAGCTTTAAGGAAGAATAGGATATTAAGAGCCTATAGAGACAAAACTAAGCTATATACCTAGGCCTAAAGATTACAAAAGTAGTATAGATTAAAAGGAAAATCGAGGAGACTAAGAAGCAGTCTTCCCTAATTATCTAGATAGGGAGTATAGAGTAAGCTAATATAGTGCTAGACTAGGGGTTGTTCTAGGACTATAAGAGATTAGAAACAGAGATATATAGAAGCAACTATAGGATAATACAGTGCTTCAAATATTAATACTATAGACACTTAGTAGCTAAGTATATAAAGACAACTAATACCTACTCCTATTATATAGGGGATTACTAGGTTAAAGAATACAAAGTATATAAGGGAGAAGCAAGATATACATACTATACTAAAAGATACCCCTCTTAGGCGAAGGAATGCCTAGTAAGAATACAGGCAGCGAGGAAGGTAAAGGAAGCTAGAATTAATATACTAAAAAGATATATAATAAGCTAGGGCAGCTAGGTATAGAAGCAACCTAGCTAAGTACTATAAAAGAGGTCTAGATAAGATAATAGGTTTATATTTAGGGCCTTACTAGCATAAGAGAGTTACTAGCAACTAGGGAGACTAAGATACCTTAATATTATAGGAAAGGAAGTAGGGCAGATAAAGCTTAGTCAAATATTAGTCTAAAGTAAGGGAAGACTAAAGGAAAACTTATAGGGAAATAATATAGATAAAACCTAATAAACATTGCAACATTACTAAACATTATATAGTATAATGTCAATAAGAGTAAAGACAAGGTATAGAGGAGCTTCCTTTAAGCACTAAACCTAAAAGAACATTACATTATTGCAATCTAAGAGCCCTAGCTTAACCTATATATAAAGAGACTAGCAACAGTTAAAGACCTAAGATACTACCTAATTATTTATAACTAGGGAGCCCTAAGGATATATATCTACATTAGCAAGGAGATAGATATAGAAACCTAGCAGGCTCTACTATAGGAGGATAGGGACCTAATATTAGTTTAAGTAGAGACATCCTAAGGTACACTCTAAGTCTACTATATATACAACCTACTACTAGACTTAAGAAGTAGTACCTAACTAAAAACCCTAGAAAGACTACCTAGAGTTATCTAGAAGAATACCTACTAAATCCTACTTAGGGATTTCAACCTCTACTACCCTCTCTAGGGCTTAGACTTTACCCTAGCTTACTACTTCCTAGTAGGAAGACTAATTGACATATTAGAGAGGGAAGAAATAGAAATTGTTACCCTAAAGGGACTAATTACTTAGGAGGCAAGAGGAAGTAGCAGTACACTAGACCTATACTTTGCATTATATTAGATTAGGAATAGGATTATAAGATATAGGATCAACTAGGAACTAGAAGAATTATTAGACTACTTCCCGGTACAGATTAAGCTAAATGTCTAAGCTAATTAGGAAAGGGAACTAGAGGAGAAGCTTAACTAGAAGGGTGCCTAATAGGGCAGGATTAGGGAGGAACTAGAAAGGGACCTAAAACTAGAGGAACTCTTAACAAAGCACCTACTAAGGCTAGAGGATATTAATAAAGTAGTAGAAGAACTAATAGGAATCCTAAACCAGGTAGCTAGAAAGCATACCCTAATAAAGAAACATTTACTATACTAGCAACTATACTAGACTAGTAAGTATATAAGGAAGGTTTAAGTAGTAAGGAAGGCTAGGAGGCAG